CACACACACACACACACACACACACACACACACACACACACACACACACACGCATACACAGCCACACCCACACTTCACAAGTTTGAATATTACACACAAAAAAAAAAAAACTTCACAAGAAACAGGCTGAAAAAGAAAGATGCACAAAGACCAGATAGGGACTGTTGGCCCCGAAGTACGATCAATAAGGAACCAAGCGCACACCCTTTGAGAGACCCTTTATACGATCCTCAGGTCAGGACCTCTATCCATACGAAATGTGATCCTATCTATTCTATCCTCACTATGCGAATCTATATCCCTTTCCTATATGTTCACCTTTTCTTTCCCGGTATGCATTTGAGCTTTTCGAACGTCGTCGCCATGCTTTAGCATCTACTGCGGCTCTTGCAATAACCTAAGTAGAAGTTACAGTACTCTTGAATGGTTGCAGGCCTCCTCGCCCGTTCCCCAGTGCCCACGTTTCCCCGTTCCCCAGTCCTCGTAAGCAGGTCTATCTTTTGTCTCCTTTGTTTTTCCCCTCTGTTACGATCCTGGCCAATTTGGAAGTATACATTCGTCAGGAAGTACAATGCCGTCCAATTGCAAAAAGAAATGAATGAACTTGAGAGGAGAGAGAGGGAACGAAGAAGAATAAGAAGAAAGAAAGAAGAAGAAGATGATGTACTCCAGCATAGGCCAACGACAATTCTGTTCTCCTTCGCCAACCACTCTCCTCCTCCTTATCTCCTCCCCTCTTATTCAAACAAGACATAACAATAATAATGTTGAATGGCTGAACCAGAATCAATGTCTGAATCCCTCTTCTAATGCAGGCACAACATGAGGTCCACCATAGGCATGGCCACCCTTCCTCTTCCTCTACATACAGGCCAAGGCTATGGCAGAGTACTGAGGGCTCTACCCTCCTGTCCAAAGGACAACCCAAAGCAGCTATGACGCTGCCCTCCTGTCCCAAGGTCAACACAAGGCAGCTATGCCGCTGCCCATTCAGCTGCCATGCCTGACTCTGTCCCGAGCTTCCTTGATGCAGCACTACCCCGACTGGGGCCTTCCAGATGCAGCGCCGACAAGGTGATGAAGATGGTGTCCACCATAGCCAGGTAGGTACCTCGCCACTCTCCTCCTTCGTCCTCTTCTCCCTCCTCCTCCTACCGGTAGAGCTTCACCATAGCCAAGGTGGAAGCTCCCGAGCCTCTTCCTTCCAGCAGCGCTGTAGTAGCCAGCGCTCCTCCAGCCAGCGCTCCAGCAGTGTGTCGCCAAACTTGCACACTGAAGAATGAGACTGGGCTCTTCGCTCAGCCTCAAGATATAGCGGCCTACTTGCCTCCTGAGGGGTGACTTCCAGGCCGCTCGGCCTCCGAAGCAACCGGTACCTCCCTTTCGGAGGGAAACATCATTGCAGACTCTGATATTGCTCGTACAGAACCTAGACTCAGAATGGATGGACTGGTAGCAGCGCTGTAGTAGCCAGCGCTCCTCCAGCCAGCGCTCCAGCAGTGTGTCGCCAAACTTGCAACTGAAGAATGAGACTGGGCTCTTCGCTCAGCCTCAAGATATAGCGGCCTACTTGCCTCCTGAGCGGTGACTTCCAGGCCGCTCGGCCTCCCAAGCAACCGGTACCTCAAACATCATTGCAGACTGATAATGCTCGTACAGGCCCTAGACTCAGACTGGATGGACTAATACCTGCCTAGGCCTAGCCTACCGCTACTGGGCCTCTAAAAATGACAACTTTGTCTTCTTCTCCTCGGCCTCGAGTACCCGGCACATCTACTAGATGCGGTACCGGCCTACCTGGTACTTGAGTGTTTTTCCGCTGCTCAAGTGCCGCAGGCCTCTGGCTCTGCCACTTGAGTGTTTTCCCTGCTGCAACCCTCAATATTGCAAGGAACCTGACTGTTCACAGCTTGCTCGAGTGCATCAAAGCGCATGCATACATGTCATCACACGTACAAAGTGGTCTCACACCAAAACCAGATTGAGATTAGATAGGAACCAAGTAGCGCAGCTTATATTATCAATGTCACTTAATACAAAGAGTATCATGAGTTCCAGAGTTCAGCACCAACAAGAGGTAAGTCTCCCTCGTCATACAACTGCGTGGGACCTGGCTCAGCCAGCGTCCTCCTTCAGATCACAAGTGTGGCGCCGACAGGTAAGTGTCCACCATATCCAAGCTCACCCCCTGTCTTCTCTCTCTTGATCTCTTCTCTCTCTCTCCAGAACTCTGCCTTGGTTCTCTTACCTCACTATGCATGCACACTCTCACCTACGAAGATCTACTTTGAATGTCACTCACTGATGCCTACCTACTAACCCTTCTACTACTAACATAGGCTAGCGCAGCTATGGCCTCCCTGCAGCCAGAGCCCAGCCTCCCTTCTAACTGGCGCAGCTCCTCTTCAGCCAGCGCCTCTCCCAGCACTATAGCGCACAAGTGCCTCAACACTTTCACGCATCAATGCCTATGGGAATCTGCCTGTGGGGGAGGCTTCCTCGTTTCTTTTAGTGCTGGCCTCCCCTGGCGAGGTCTGAATTCTGCCTGTCCTGGTCCTTTCCCAGTCCCAGCCCCTGTGTATGTGTCCCAGATCCCTTTCYTTCAGGGGTTGCTGCTGCTGCGGCCTTCAGGCCTTGATTTCGGACTCCCAATCTGAATCTAGACTTCCTTTCTGACTTGAATCCGGACTGGAACTTAACTCTTTGACTTCTGCTGGACAGACACACCCATTGCACGAACAGACACCCTTCTGCACGAACAGACACATTGACTGCACGTACAGACACATCTCTTGTTTGAATAGACATGACTTGCATTGCCCTTGACGAACAGATGTGACCTCAAAATCTAAACATGGTGACTGTTCGTCCAGGGCCCAACCATGACCTTTGACATTGTCTTTACTTTAGCCAGGATGTGACCTTTGACCCAGAGAACATGTCTTTTGATTTGCTTTCGCGAATTGGGCTTTGGGCGAGGAACCCCAATATGTTGCTTTTGCCAAACAGGGGCTGAATCGGGTAAAGGCCCTTTTAATATCACGGCCACAGGTAAGTACAGGCCTCTCAAACAAGCAAGTACCCTTGCAGGTAACACACACACTCATGGCGACAAGCACTCAGACACGCACACAGGTCACCAAGCACGCACACACACAGACTTAGAAAACTCAGCAGAATGTGGGAATCTCAAAATGGCATCCATTCCATTGGCAGAACTCAGAAATCAGCAGTGTTCTCAATCTGTGTTATGGCGTGGCATTACACTACGCCCCCCCCTCAAGAGCAAGGTCCCTTCGAGGGAGTAACTCATCAGAGTCCCTGGATAGCGCATCATAAGCGTAAATGGCAAAGAGAGATCGGGTATGTTCTGAAGGAGTGAGGGTTGCGATGAATTTAGGTTGCTGTTCGGAGATAATCAGTCGTTCATATGCATTGACATCTCACGGGGCACTCTGCAGCAAGTCTTTCTTAGCAATCCAGTAAAAATCATTTAATGGGTGATATAGAGAATGGACTTTGTATTGTCTGCTTTTCCCTTTTCCACTGTGGTCGACAACTCTATCAATCTCGTGACCGCCATTGATTTCCCGAGGAATCATCGATTCTCGATACGGAAAAGTTTCAGGTGGTACATACGGAAACCACTTCGACGTGTGAAAGACTAGGTACGTTCACAGATGAGTAGGCACATCAATCGTGTAAGGACCGAATGAATCCTCCCCTACCTGGTTCAGTACTTAGGAACGTAATACTTAGGAAAAAGTTTTCGTGATACACAAAAGCTTTCGTGATACACCCTCGTCCTCAGAAAACTCAAACATCTTAACCCAAATGTAACTTCCCACAGTGAAAGGTACAGGTTGGTGTTTCTTGTTGGCATGCTTAATCATGGCACTGCATTGCCTTTCCACAGCTGTAACAACAACTTTGAGCAAGCGATCAAACTTAGCGCTGTAGCCAGGCTGGCCAGGTGCTAGGCCAGGTGGCGGGTCAGGAAACAGATAGGATTAGGGATTGCGAATTTTCCAACCGAGGTGCAGCCGATTAGGTGTCATCCCGGTGGAGGAGTGTATTAAGTTGTTGTACAATCCCTGCACAATCAGCAAATTCCTTATCCCAAGAGTCTTGATCAGGCACAATTAGAGCTCGGAGAAGAAGCTGGATCACAGTCTGGTTGATTTCCTCGATCAATCCATTGGCTTTGGGATGTCGACCAAACATCTTCTTGAGCTTGATGTCATAGATGTGGGAGGAGAAATCTTCCCAATCTGCACTTACGAACCTAGTGCCCTGGGCAGTCACGAGAGTCTTCGGGGGCCCACACTGCAGAATGTACCTCTTGTTGAACTCCTCGATCACAAGGCTAGTTGGGGCATGAGGTGGTAATGGAATCAAATTCAAAAATTTTGAAAAGCGGTCAACGATCACCATTACTTGCGAATATCCGTTTCTGCTCTTCTTTCCCATGTCCGTGAAGTCAGTGGAAAAATACTCACCCGGACCATCAAGGACAGGAAGAGGATGCAGCAGCCCATAGGGCTTTTGCCAAGACGGTTTGATGCGTTGACAAACTTCACACTCAACCACAAACTTTTGTGCCATTCCTTTCATCCCAGGTTATACAAACTTTTGCAATAGCCTTCCGTATGTCTTCTCAAAACCGAAGTGTCCACTGCAGCCAAGTCCAAGAAGTGAGTACGGATAGGCTCATGGTTGGGTACACA